TGCTTCCATAGTAGGAAATCTTTTAATACCACAAAAGAAACATTATATCATCATGTTGCAGGTGCTGGAAACCCATTTGATTTAAAAAAAAAAACACTGTTAAAATATGAATTGGAAGATAGCTCTTTAACAAATCTTTAATAGATTTCTATCAGTCTATGTATATCATTTAACCCCAAAATTAACATTATTCTGTAAAGAGAAAATACTAGATGACTTTTTCATTGTATCAGTAATGAGCAGCAACTATCATTGTTATTTAGCATGGTAACATGGGTCTAGAATTCCTACATGTATGTATTTATATATAATAGTGTATGTATATTGATTTGTATATATGTAATACAGAGGGCTAAATCCACTTTATAAAATATAAGGCTAATATGTTAATAAATATTAAGAGTTAAGGGGTTGGGGTTGTGACTCAGTGGTAGAGCACTTGCCTGGCACATATGAGGTACTGGGTTTGATTCTCAGCACCACATAAAATAAAGGTATTTTAAAAAAAAGAATTAAGACTATGTAAGTATAAAAACTTCTTACATATAAATATAAAGATTTCTAAATGTAGTTGAGCTCCTATAAATCAATATAATAAAAGAAAATGGACAGGACAAAAAAATTCAATGAGAAAATTCAGGGAAAAAATATTAAATCTTACTGATTAAAAAGAAATGGAGGGCTGGGGTTGTGGCTCGGCCGTAGAGCACTTGCCTAGCATGTGGGAGGCACAAGGTTCAATCCTCAGCACCACATAAAAATAAATAAATAAAACTATTGTGTCCAACTACAACTAAAAAAAGTTTTAAAAAAAAAGAAATGGAAAATAAGTCAAGGAATAGTTCGTCAATTAAATAAGCAAATATTAAACAGTTTGGTAATGCATTATTAACTGGAGAGGTGATTAAACTAGTACTCATATAGTTTTTTTTTTTTAAGATGTTGATAGGTCTTTATTTTTTTCATTTATTTATATATAGTGCTGAGACTTGAACCCAGTGCCTTGCACATGCTAGGCAAGCGCTCTATCACTGAACCACAACCCTAGCCCTAATACTCATATCTTATAAGAGTATAAATTACAGTGCAATAACAGTATAGCAGTTCTACTTTCAGAAATTCATTCTGTATATGTATTTACACATGTATGGGAGCTTTTATGTACAGTTACAACATTGTTTGTAATAGTAACTGATGGAAATAATGCAAATGCATCTCTGCAGGGAATTAATAAGTTGGATGAATGTATTATGGCATATCCATATAAAATACTGTGGAGCTATCTGTAATACATTGTTAATGGTAAAAGCAAAGTGTAAAATAGGATGCATAGTATATTTATTTCCCCATCTTGAAAGAAAAAGATGAACCTAAAATTTGTACCCAATCAGTTAGTAATATTGAGTGCAGAGGGAAACAGTAACAGAAGTTGATCTGGAAGGGTAACTAACTTACCCTCCTCTCTGTGCCCATTTGTCCCTTTTAGACTACTGTACCAGAAGCTTCTATTGCCCATTTGCTTATTTATTGGTGTTGGGGATTGAATATTCGTTAATTAAAATCAAATGCATATTGGTCCATATTTTTAAAAAATAATCTTAATTTCTATGAACATGTAGATGATATTCTAGTGAATGACATATTGAAATGTGAAAATTAATTCTAGGTGGATGGCAAATCAAAATGTGGAAAGTGAAACAGTTAAAGCTTTTGGAAGAAATAGAAGATCTTTCATGACCTTGGAATAAACTATATATATATATATAATATGTTATATATACATATATATATCTACCAACAAATCGGACTACGTTAAGAACTGTTGTTCATTAAAAGTCACAATTATTATGAATATAATGCACTCCACTATTGTCATGTATATAAGAAATAATAATAATTTTAAAAAGACACAATTAAAGTAAAAAAGCAAGACACTGCAGAATATATTTGAAAGCCATATATCTAAGAAAGACTCATAACCAAACAAAGTAAGCAAAGTAAGCAAAAAGCAATCTAATAGAAAAATAGGCTAACGACTTGGAACAGGCACTTCACAAAATAGGCTATCCAAATGGCCAGTAAATATATGAAGAGGTGTTCAACATCATTAGTCATCAGGGAAATAAAAATTTAAACCACAATGCAATACCACTACACACCCACCAGAATGGATAAAATAAAAAGACTGACATTTTTTAGCGTTGTTGAAGATGTGGAGCAACCTGAACTCACATAGTCATGGTGGGAAAAGTAAACTGGCACAACCAATGGAATATTGGTTTTTGGTACCTGCTAAGGCTGAGGATATTATTGCTTATAACTCAGAATTTCCACTTCCTAAATATATACCCCACAGAAATGAAGGCAGAGGATCACCAAAAGATCCCTACTAGAATGTTCATAGCAGTTTTATTAGAAATAAGCCCCAAACTGAAAATGAATAAAACATAATGTACAACAGCATGGAAAATAAATGGTGATAAACTCATGCAATGGAATGTTACACTGCAATGAGTATATGTTGCCTGCAGATACACAGCAGTGAGAGTGAAGCTCACAAGCACAAGGTTGGGCAAAAGAAGCCTCCTAAGATCCATTCACATGTGCTATGGTAATAGTCCAAACAAACCTGTGATGTTTAAAGTCAGAATAGCCATTTTCTTGGTGCAAGGGAAAGACTGGAAGAAAAAAAGGCTTCTGGGTGCTGGTAATATTCTTTTTGTTGATTCAATTCCTGAATTCACAGGTGTATTCATTTGTTAAAACAAATCACATGCTCTTAATGACTAGTCTGCTGTATTATGTGTATGTTACACCCAATAAAAAGTTTTTTAAAAGGAATGGATCTGAAGATTTTCTAAAAGTAGAGGTACATGCAAGATAATGGTAATAGTTGTATATTTTATTATCAGTTTTCTCTGATCTTGTTTGATTGTGTTATTAGCTAAAAAATTACCCTTTTACTTGATTTTTAAAACCATTTCCTTGCCCTTATTCATGTAACATGAATAGGGTAGCTTTGCCCTTCTAGCCTCTCATACATTCCAAGCTCTTGGGAAAGACTTAAAATAGTGTAATATTTCCTAATCTGATTGAGGGCCAGTAGAAAGGAGGTAAAGTCATGACCAAAAGGCCAGGCTAAGGATGAATAGAAGAGGTGTGAATGTGTCCATCAACTCTGAGTGGGTTGGCTCAGTGCAATAAATGTGGAAGAGAGGAAGAAGTGGGACAGCTGGCTGCCACACCAGGGTACCGTCACACGTGATGCCCACACTCCAGCCCCTTCCATATCTCATTTCAGCAGACCCACCAATACTGCTTAATTATTTCCAATAACCTTCGACACTTTTATATCACTCACTCATTTTTAAATTGACACCCAAAGATTTTCAGCATGTTTATTTTTGTAAAGAGTAAGTAGAAATTATTGAATATTTTATTAAATGAAAATGAAGATTAAGCGTAAGTAGTCAGTCTCTCATAAGATTTGGTAATAGTTATTAAGTACCTTGTGAATTAAAGCACAATCAATCTGAAATAAATAAATAAAATTTTAAGCCTCTTCATTATATTGATCATTTGGTAGTTGTATAGAATATTCCAGTTTTACCCTGCCTCTCCTATAAAGCCTCTTCAGATGTCCTGAATTCAGAGCACCTCAATTCAGGCCCCACACCCAATATCTAATGGCAGATTTCATCTATATCACAATCTGTGTAAGACAGAGGACAGGAAATGCTAGGAGTTTAATCATTGATATATAAATTATGCTTTGCTTCTCAAAAGTCTTTGATACCCCACAGCACGGAAGATTTAGGGTTGCAATGACAACAAGCTCAGACTCTTAGATAAGTAAGTTTTAGAAAAGATCCCATGTGAAAGTTGAGGAACTGGAAATTTTTTCTTTAAAGTTGTCTGTGAATGTTTATTTCTTAGAAAGTCTTTGCTTGAAGTTTGAAAACTGCTGTGATAGATATTTGAACAAGGAGCCAAAATAAACAATGTGCTCGCCCCTTTGGCTTTACATATAAATAGTCAAGGAAGCTAGCTGGTGAAAGGTTACATTCAACCTGTGGCTTCCATGTTTTTGATGGAAAGATGAGTGGCTTTATTTTTGATATATAAATAATTTCAACTGAAGTGAAACAAATTCATTGAAGCAAAAAGTATGCTTTTGTATATTTGAATTTTAATTCTCTCTCTCTCTCTCTTTTTTTGTTAGATAGACACATTTATTTATTTTTATGTGGTACTAAGGCTTGAACCCAGTGCCTCATACATGCTAGGCAAGCACTCTACCACTGAGCTACAACCATAGCCCCTAGTTGACAATTCTTATTTAATTCTCCTTTTTTTTTTATAGTCATGAAGCTTTCCTCCAAAATGCTAAATGTTTTTAAATCATTCATTACAAACCACTCTGCAGTTATGTACTGAATGAATACTTACATTTTACCTGAATTGCTATAGAAGAGCAAGTATCAAATGCCCATAAAAGATATTGAGTCATTTTTAAATACATATTTCTAATCATGTGTTAAAATAACAAATTCGGGTATTTTAGTTTAATTCCATAAAATGGAACCAGGAAAACATCTGGTTTCACAAATGAAGTGATAATCATCAGAATGAATGGATCAATTCTCATGGGGCCCACACATACTGCATAGGAAAAATAGCACATTTCTGTTCCCTGTTTTTCCCAAAAAGAAGGCTACCTCTAATCTCACTGTTGCCTCAAACCTTCACAAACAACTGTGCCAGTGACACAAGAAATTCACTTTGTAATGGGTTATATTCTTGTGTAGTACATTTATGCAACTGAAGTTGGCTTTTATACTGTGACAGGCATGTAAATGGCGTTATATCAGTGATCTCTGTACAATTGATTCCTTCTTTTCCCTTTTCATTATAAAAGGAAACTTTATTTCAGAGTAGAAAGTGCATTGTCTGAACTCATCAACACCCTCTCTATCCCTCCCCTCCCCAATTTGTTGCAGACCAGGATGAAAGAGCAGCTGAGCTCAGCAGGGAGCAGAATGAGAAAACCATCCGGAGCACTCAGACTGCGCTCCGCAATTTCCGTGAGTTCCTCATCTCCAAGTACCCTTCTGAAACAAGAGAGATTTATGTCATCCCTTGCAAGGAGTTGGATGCCTACCTTGCCTCTTTCTTTGTTGATGCCAGGCAGAAGGATGGGTCTGAGTATGAACCCAACAGCTTGGCGAATTACCAGTGTGGGCTGGAACGGTACTTAAAAGAACACAGGTATGGCTACAGTATCACCAGGGATAAAGAATTCAAGCGTTCCCAGGAGGCCCTCAAACAGAAGCAGATTGAACTCCGCTGCAAAGGAAAAGGAAATAAGCCACACAAGTCCATGAAGCTCACCTTTGCTGATGAGCTCATACTGCGGAAAAGAGGACTGCTAAGCCGATATAACCCTGAGGGTCTCCTCAACCTGGTCTGGCTTAATAATACAAAAGCTTTTGGTCACTGCACAGGCTTCCATGGATCTACCTTGAAATGGGGTGATATCCGGCTCCGAGTAACAGAAACAGGACTGGAGTACTTGGAGTGGATGGGTCAAGACACTGGTGATCTGAATGCCAAAACCAAGAGAGGGGGAACAGATTCGCGGGTGTATGCCACCCAGCATGCCCCACAGACCTGCCCTGTACAGGACTATAAAGAGTATGCCCAGAGGCGGCCCCCTGCCATGCGCTACGAGGATGCCCCTTTCTACTTGTCCATCAAGCCAGTTGTGAACTTGGCGGCTCTACATTGGTACAACTGCCAGGCCCTTGGCAAGAATAAGCTGGCCAAGATGGTGAAGACCATGTGTGAGAAGGGCAACATCCCCGGGCGGAAAACCAACTTCAGTGTGTATCAGAGCTGCAGCACCTTGTCTGAGGCCCAGAGCAACCAGCTGGTGCTTATCTGTAACAACCTCAGCCAGCAGGCCGCCCAGTCAGTGGCTGGGCATTCCAACAGCGGCAATTTCATCGTCTCTGCCTCTTATGACTCTTCCTCAGACACTGCTTGACCCAGGTGGCCTCAAGACCCCAATTTGGTTTCTGTGTCCCAAGAGACTGATTATACACTGTTTCTCATTCCCTTTCCTCTGCCCTCAGTGTTAACTTTATAAAAATATAAATATATAATATATTTTTCTTTTTACAAATAAGCCAATGGAGATAGTTTAGTATTCCTAACATAGTATTTATAGGCTTAAGACAAATAAATGTACTTGTGGGTGATTACATGTAATTACTGTTACAGACTTTACAAAACCATAGTGGTTCTCAGGCAGTACTGAGTAGAGAAAGAATTCCGTTTTAAAAAAAACTGTTAGAAACAGTCATCATAGACACTGTGTCCTTAACTCCTGCTTTTTCTTCTTACCCATCTCTCACTTTTATTAGTCTCCTTCAGAAATGACTTTATATTTTTAATTTTTAAAATTCTGTATTAATCATGGAGAAGACAACACTAACTTTACTGCTCACACAATGTATTCAGCCAGATAGAATGTGAGTGGTATAAACCTGACATCAAATTATTTACCCATTCTTTTTTAACTTAATTAAAATTTTAGGTCCTGTGCCTCATTTTTTTACAGTGTAGGAAAATGCACATATTTAACTTTTCTTAGGGGTAAAAGGGAGTAAAAGAAGGAATAAAGGTGCCATTCTTTTTGGAAGATATGTAATTTTTAAATAATATGCAAACTAATATTGTGGCAAAAAAAAAAAAAGACTGTTACATAGCTCATTTTTACTGGTTTGCTTGAACATAGTTAGAAATTTTTTTGGCCCTAAGAAATTAGTATAAATGAAGTTTGATTATCAGATTTACAAGAAACTTAGAACTACCAAAAGTTTGAAAATTATCCCAGGCATTAGATTGTATATCAAACATGAAGAGAAGGAAGAAAACACAAGTCTTAATAAAAATCTAAAAGTACTAGTCAAGATAACAACAACAATAAACCTCATCCTCTTCAAAGCTCAAATCTCATGAATTATTTATTTATAAGTATTAAACTTCAGTCTCTGCAGTTGAGATCAAAGGAATATTGACACTCATTTTAAGTAACAATGTTTTGTTACTAGGTTTAGCAGATTCAAAGCATTCTTGAAAATGTAGAAGTTTCTTCTACAGAAAATATAAATATCTGTAATATCTTGCAATAATTGTAACAACAATAATAATTTTGGCCAATTTTTTTTTTTATGTTTTTTTCCCAAGGTCTCTGTTTTCAAGTTTTGAAAGCTGGATGTGATGAATTATTAGTTAAGATGCTTCAAAAAATAAACTAAAGTGTAGACATTAGAACCACAATAAAGGTGAGATAGGTTCCTCTTCTGTATAATCATTAGCACACTTCCAAATCTTGGTTGGTTGGATCTGAGCATTCTATTGGGAGGTATTTGTTCTTCAGGGCAACCTCATATTTCACATTATCTAGGAAGGTATGTGGCATTTTATGTGTTAATTTATTATACAACCAGGACAGATTTCCCTCTGATATTACTTTGCTAAGTTGTCACAGAGCTCAGCTTTCCCTGGTTGGCAGCTTTTTCCAACTCAAAGTCAGAAGTACATAAAGATGCCTTCCTCTGAGCTGTGACCCATATTTGGTGCAGAAGTTGGAAGTCTGCTGTGGCTTTGTGTAGTGGGATTAACTTCATTTTCATGACTATTCCTCCAGCCAACGGAGAGGCATCCTTTTGTACATTCAGAAAGAGGAAAAAAGGGAGAGGATATTTCTGTACACGTTATCACATTATTGTAGTCTTTCCAACAACTTTGAAAAGAAAATGAGTTATCTGGGTCCATTTTATGGTGAGATTATAAGTCAGCCAGATCATAGCCAAGGAAGCTGGTGTTGGTCATCTCACTGCAGAGCCACTTCTCATCACCTTTTTCAGTACCAGTTTGTAATTAGTTTTTAGTGATGTGAACCACAAACAGGGACAGTGTCTTTCCATCTATAAAGGCTGTCTCAGTGAGTTTTCATGGCAGCACACTCTGTCCTCTCCCTCCACCCAAGTTCATTTTAAACCAGCACCTCTTTCTCAGTTCTCTTTAGAAAACCTTCCTCCTCTCCTCATTCTAGAACTAGTCTATAAGTGTACAAGACAGCTTACTTTAAGGGAACTCTTTATTAAATAAGGTTATTTTTATATGAGCTTCCTCTCTTCTTTTTAAAAAGGTTTCTATAAAACACTTAATGTTATTGTATTTTACCTTTTTGTGGACATAGTTTCTAAATTCTTGACATGTTTTTGGTGCTGGGGATAGAACTCAGGGCCCCATGTATGGTAGGGCAAGCCCTCTACTACTGAGCTACACTCCCAGCCTCTTGATATGTTTTTAATAGCAAAGTAAGTTTATCTTGAGGAAGAAGGCTAGTCGGAATGCACTGAGAAATCAGAACTAGAAAATGTGTAGTCTTTATTTGTGTTTGTTGAGGTGGTAAAATGAAAATCTGTCCTGCTTAATCGTGTTGCATTTTTATTTAGGCAAACACAATTAAATTGAGAATTATTTTTCATTATATTTTGCAGTGATAATTCAAACCAAATAGGAACATTTTGACATTTAGATTCAGAAAACTGTTTTCTGAAGAATGGCTTAGAGAAAGTGCTAGCCAAATTATAATGTCTCTTTAAGTTGATTAAATTTGGAAACAATGTGCAACTACCTCAGGTTTTTTTTTTTTTATCCTGTTCTGCAGGGGATCAAATTTGGCCTCACACATGCTAGGTAAGCACTCTGCTACTGAGCTACATCCCCAGCCCCTGTACTTTTATCTAAACAGTACTATGGACATACCACAGCCATATTCCATTTTTATTATTCAGAATTTTAATTTAAAAAAATTCACACTGTGGCAGAGATGGATGCCAAAATTTTACTGTACTCTAGAAAAAATTCAACAGTGCGGATGGTGTTCAATATAACTGAATGTGCTGCCCTCCCTTGGACAGTCCTGATTTATATGGAAACAAAACAATTTTTGCAAAATTTACACTTTTAAAAAATACTTCTTTAGTTGCAGATGGACACAATACCTTTATTTTGTTTATTTATTTTTATGTGGTGCTAAGGATTGGTTCCAGTGCCTCACACGTACTAAGCAAGTGCTCTCCCACTGAGCTACCACCACCCGAGCCCCATAAGACAGCTTATTCTTAGGATTCCATTTATTATGGCTATTAGGGCTGGTATGAACATATTTCATAAATATATATCTACTCTTAAAAATATTTATTTTATATTTATTTTCCTTGTTTCTTCACTCTCCTTGTGTTGAGTCACTACCTGATCTACAAAAGAATGGGCTGAAAAGTTCCTGGCAAAGATCAGATCTCTTTGGTTTTTCAGATCATTGTTAAGCTGAAACTTGGTGGCTTTAACTTGTCTAAGTCATGGCTTAGCTGCTTCCTGATTCCATTAAAGCAGTGACTTAATGAGATGAAAATGTATAGTCACTTAAGCTAATTTTTTTGGATAGATATCTAGACACTGGGAGTGGTGCAGAGATGTATTAGGTAGTTTCTGCTCTCATAGAATTTATAAAAGACACTGTGATGAAAAGCTCGTTTTTGAGAGCTCAGCAAAAACTTATGTGATGACACTATTTTGTATTTTCTTCCTAACTGTTCTCCTGCAGTTTCTCCATTATTTATTTATTAAGTATGTTGCTTTGCTTTATCTTATATAATACTGCTTTGAATGTCATGTGGGGAATGTTCCTTAGAACTTGTTTTAAAAATCAAGGTGAAGCCATTTCTATTACCATCCATGATTTTCATATAGGTACCCATATACATAGGAATGTACAGATCTGTCATCAAAGACTATCACTTATTATGCACTTACAATGGGCCCTTGTGCTCAGTGCTTTTGTAAGTTGTTTTCTTAATTCTTACAAAAAAATCCCTTTAGGTAAGTTATCTCACATATGTAAATGAAGAAACAGGAGACGTCAAATGGATTGCACATGTCACGGTTAATGCATAAGAGCATCAGTATCTGAAACTAGATCCAGATTCTATTAAACCTGTGCTTTTCT